TTGTGGAGGAGGTCACACCAGAACCTGTTGTGGAAGTAGTTGTGGAGGACGTAGCAGTGGAGACAGCAGCTTCTGTGGTTGAAGAAGCACCTGTGGACGTCGAGGAAGCGACAGTGGAGGAGGTGCCAGCAGAGGAGCCTGCACAGCCTCAACCCAAAGGTACAAAAAGATAAAGAAGCATTAAGTCTAACTGCAAAGTATTTCTAAAGATAAAGCTGGAGCAGAGCAGTGACTCAAAATGTTCCCTTCCCTCCTGGAAGGGATCCTGTTACAGTAAATCTGTCCCCACTGTAATTAAGGAAGAGCATCATTATCTGGTGTCTGGGTGTTGACACCTGCTATAAAAGATGATGGCAACATCTTAAAAGAGTTTCCCACCTCTCACTCTGATCTCACTACATTAATTCATTAGCGTGGGTGTTGCTTGGTGTAATACGTGCTGTCCTTTTCAAACTGTGTAAAAATACACTTATTCAGCTTCTTGCAGAGAGTTAGGTGAGAAAACTGACACCGCTCTCACATCTGTAGACTAAATATATGAAGGTGTAGCCAGGAGATGGTTAGCTTAGCTCAGCAGAATGACTAGAAGGAAACAGCTAGTCTGCATAAAAAACTGTTGCGACATATGTTTTGGTAACCTTCACATGGTCTGTGTCATTTTTATATGTACATGTACCATAGAGCCTAAACTTGATTTTTAGATCAATTTTAAACAATAAAAAAAACTGATATGTATTGACTGACAATATTCTTTAGAACCATTTTCTAGTTATATTGAAAAGGGAAAATGATGGAATTGTTTATTAACTTCACAGCAAAGCATTTCACAGACTAATCACCAACTTCCCATGAAGACACCGCTTGACTCCGCACCACCGTCTGCTCAGCTATGATGCACCCTCTGCTACATGTGCTGCAGACAGCTCTGAGAATAAACAATGGAGTCAGATCGCACTCTTCTGGGAAAAATATGTGAAGACACCAACTCTAAATTACCCCAAGTATCGGAGTTGTTTTTTTTTTTTTTAGCATTAAGTACTTTATAAGAAACAGATTTATTGGTTGATAGTGAGATACAATATGTTCACTGTCTTTGTGCTAAGCTATATAAGCCACTTCCTGTTTATAGCTTCTTCTCGAGCGCACAGACATTAAACTGATGTTGTTCTTCTGATCTCGCTTTCGGCAAGACAGCAAATGAGCGTATTTCCTTCAACATCAAACCAACTTTTTAAAAATTGAACTGGAAGGTCCCTGCACTGGAACATTCAATTTCTTAACCTTTGATAAATTATTAGACAAAAAACCCACTTATAAATGATTTATTCAAATCACCAAAATAAGTTATCGTGGGGGAAGTTAAAAAATAAAAAACCCAGCAAAATCAATTATCTGGCAACACAAAAGCTGCCTATTAAGTGGCTAGAACATAAAAACTGTATGGAAAGTATGCTTTATGAGAAAAATTGTGTTTGTAAATGTAAGTTTTGTGGATTTTTAACTGAGACAAGTCATGAAATGACAGCAAAGGTCTATTTCCTGCTCCTAAATTCTCTCTTGGGCATGTCGAACCCCAAGAATATGACACTGTGTGTAGCTAAAGAGGAATTAGCAACAACCTCTGGTACAGAAATAAACAGCACGGAAATAGCAGTGGAACGGAATAGACAGATAGACGGACAACAGCGTGATATAACAGTTGGACCGGCCCAGATGGCCTGGTCACTCACAGCTCAGGAAATCCTTTACCTGGGGGAGCACATTTATTTTGTAACCATGTCAGCAGAGGTTTTAGTTTTTGAAAGTAGATGATGGTTGATGTGTCAATATTTGCCATACATTGTTGTTTTCAATGCCTTCTTTGTCAGACGGAGCATTACTTATTACCTGTTACAGGTGCTCGTGACCTGAACATTTGACTCACAGTTTGTTCCTACCATCAGAACACAAGGGAACTGAAGCATCAGGCCCGACCCCGAGGGACCGCTCCCACATCGATGACACACTGCGACTGGCAGCAGCCGAACCCTCAGCAGAGTTCACAGGTACAAGGAACAAATATGTCCCAAAACTAGTGACATGAAACAGCGCACGGTCAAGAATTCCTCTCTTTGTGATGCACAATACGCCGACACACATGCTCCAAACATGCACAGCAACACTCATATCCGACACAATGACCACATCCTCTTGATCAAGAATTGGATCCTGGGTGATCGCATTGCTGCGCTGCCCACCATTTCATATGTCTGTCAGACTTTTTGCTTGAAAATCGCCTCAAGTCATGTATCGAAGTAAAAATGCAGCAGTGTTTACAGCTACTTTGTCAGTGAAAAAGAAAACCAGATGTTTGCATGCAAATGAAAGGAAGTTTGAAACAATTTGGGGGCTTTTCTGCTGAAACTATTCTGAAAATTGTTTCATGATGTCTCGGTCCCGAGGCCTTTATGTGTGAGCGCGTGTACTGTATGAGTGTGTGTTTGAGCGAGTGTGTGTGTGTGTGTGTGCAGACGTGTCTCCAGGCAGGTAATTAATCAGTGCAAATGTGTAACTCTGTCCTCGGCAATGAAAGCCTCTCTGTTCTGCTGAAGCAGGCTGGTTCATTTCAGAGGCGGCCAAAGAGCTGCAGCAAAGCGGCTCTCTTAATCACTCCGGCTCCGTTCGATAAATTTTATGAGGGCGATTCATCATGTGCAGCAGAAGCAATTGTTGTCATCAATAATGGTAGCAAGAGTATTAGGAATAGTCCTGTTCAAAATGCCTTCACGCCATTACATTACGTCCCAATTATCACAGCACAAGTTCTCCCCGCTTTTCTCTCTCTAGGTGCTATGAAGACGCTGTTGAACATCTACCACAAGTCCATCAAGCCCATGGAAGACGCCTTCAAGTACAACGAGCTCAGGCAGCACGAAGTCACAGGTAGCACAGCAAGAACACAACCGACAACAGTTTGTATGTGCAGGCAAATGTTAGGCTTTCACATCAGCACCAGGAGAAAAACTCTTGGAAGTGATTTATTTGTGTTCCCTGACGTACACTGACACTCCTCCCATCCTAGAGCTTCTATGTTCCAGAAATGTTCAGAGAAGGTTCTGCTGATGTTTTCAGTGGGGAGTTTTTTTTTTTTTTTAGTTCCCAGAGTCTTAATGGTAGAATTCCGAAAGATATTGTAAAAATGTTAAGAGATTGCTGCGCTCTAACGTTCTGTGAAATATTCTAGGAATGTTTTTTGTAAAATTCTATAACATGTTCTGTCGACGATATTCCCAAAATACCCTCAGAACATTCCAGGCAGAACATTCCACCTTTGTAAATACATTGCAGTACAGAAATGTCTTACAAAGAACATTCTGTCATCTGAGGTCTTGATAACATCTTGAAAACGTTTTCTGAATGTTGCAGTGAGACCGTTCTTCCTTTGTTATCATCCTGGAAACATCCTAACAGAAGAACGTTGCATAATGTGTTCCCTTTTAAAAAAGAAATAATGTTCTACCTTTAATATATCACATTACAGAAATAGTATAAAACGTTCTGTACAAAGAACATTCTGTCATCTGAGGCCTGAATACGGTCTAAAAAATGTTTTTTGATGGTGTGTAAGAATATGTTGTAAGAACATTCCTCCTTTGTTATCATAAAACGCAAGCTGTGTTTCGGACAACCTCCTCTGAACGTTGATTAAAACATTATATTAGTTTCATAGGAACATTACTGGAACTGAAAATAATGGGTTTTTGAAATATAGTCATAAAGTTCTGAGAATTTTCCACCTTTTTTAAAAAATGATTTTTTTTAAGCACATATCACGACAGGAAGGTCTAACAAAGAACGTTCTGTTATCCTAAAATGTTTTCCCAATGTTGCATTTAAAACATCCTTTCTTTGCTTATCATTCTGGAACCATCAGTGTTCTATCATTTGTTCCCCTTAACAAAAAGGCATGATGTTCTACCTTTAACAAATCACATTACTGGAACGTAATGAAACATTCTGTGTGAAGAACATTTTGTCAAGTGAGGCCTTGATAAGACTGGAAAACATTTTTTGAAAGTTTATTTGAGAATTTTCCTCCTTTGTTCTTACAAAACATAATAATAAGTGTTTCTGACAACCTCCTCTGAATGTGGACATTAAAACATCGTCTGAACTACATGAAAATATTCTCAAAACCTTCGTTGAACATTTGAATTATAGATTTCCTTCAAAAAATTCTAAGAACTTGTGAGTAATGTTTATCAATGTTGTGGGAAATGTTCTACCTTTGTTAATATATACAGGAACGTCTAACAAAGAACACTCTATCATCTGAAAACGTTTTCCAAATGTTCCATTGAGAACGTCCCTCCTTTGTTATCATGGAACATAATCTGTGTTTCCGACAGTTTCCTCTGAATACTGACATAAAAACATTATATTAGCTTTATAGAAGCATTACTGGAGATGAAAATATCCTTAAAGGTTCTTTGAACACTTGAAGAAAACATTTTCTTTCCTTTTTTTTTTTTTTTTTAAATCATAAGAACTTGTAGGCAATGTTAGCCAATGTTGTGGGAACGTTTCCTGCTCACTGAGATCTTTTTGCTGTGAATGTGAGTCAGACACCACAGCTCAGGCAGCAAGCCAAATAAAACAAACAAATAAAAAAAGCAAATACTAACACTGCGGACAACATTTGCTGCTTTGACAATCAATCGGCTTAACTTCTGCATGTTCCTTTTTTTTTTGGAAAACCCCCCATAACTATGCTACAAGCCAACATAGCTCACTGGAGATCCCTGAGCCACACACCAAACCCACTCGCCAGTGTTCCTTTATCAGTTCACCACACAGTTCAATACATACAGTGCTTGGTTTAATAAACTGGAGCGGCACAGAAACCGTGAAGTACAAATAAAGTCATAATTAAGGATGAATTTAGAGCCAGGACCTGACATTATTCAAGCCAGGCACACAGAGGAGCACAATAAGGACTCTGTGTGCTGAAATTTAAAGGGAACATTGTGCGGGCCTGGCGCCCTGCAACTTTGTTCCATAGCACTTGAGGGCAGGGAGTATGATTTATACTGAGGAGCAGGAGGAACACTTCACATTGTGCCATGTGACTCTGGGACATCTTGTGGTGCTGAATGGAAGTGCATGATTGCAATCGTTGCATTTCAACCATCGATGTGTGTGTGCGTCACAAAGTGTATTACTAAGCTGATTATATTAGGAGATAATGTTGACACTTTGGCTCGAGGAGAGCTCATGCAGTGTCAGTACATGAATTACAGTTTCCCCATTCGATTTGGATGTTTCCTGGAAGTGCAAATGGAAGTTCTGAAAATATAATATTCTTGAAAGGTTTTGTTGCTCAGGACCAAAGTGTTGAACACACTCAAGCACTGGTGTATGGTGGCATGGCAGCACAAATCATACTTGCAGCTCAACAACCACAACTGTGCATGAATCATTAAAAAACAAAAGACCATCCAGGGAAGAAAATGCAAAATAGATTCACCTTGAACTGTCTTAAAGTGTCTAATGCAATGAATCTGGGACCTTATTCAACAATGCAGTGTAAAGCAGCATTACAGCTCAGCAGAGCTTCCTAAAAAGGTTTAACCACTGTGCAACACCTCTTTGTCTGAAGCAGATTGTTTTTTAGATGTGTTTCCTTCTCTTTAAACACTCAGATGGTGAGATCACCTCCAAACCCATGGTTTTGTTTCTGGGACCCTGGAGTGTTGGCAAGTCCTCCATGATCAACTACCTGCTGGGCCTCCACGACTCCTCCCAGAAACTCTACACAGGTTCACACACATAAAAACAGATTTATTTATTTCTTAGCATGTCTGCATCAAAAACTGTGCAACTCAATCCTTCCTTCTTCAACCCTCTGCCAGGTGCTGAACCCACCACCTCCGAGTACACTGTCATCATGCACGGCGACAAGTTTCGCACCATAGAGGGCATCGTCATGGCAGCAGACAGTTCGCGCTCCTTCTCCCCCCTGGAGAAGTTCGGCCAGGGCTTCCTGGAGCGTCTGATTGGCATTGAGATGCCCCACAAGCTCCTGGAGAGAGTCACCTTTGTGGACACGCCGGGCATCATTGAAAACCGCAAGCAGCAGGAGAGAGGTGACAGAAAATAGCTTGATATGAAAGTAACAGATAGCCAGTATTCATTACTCTGGCTAAACAGAGTTTTCGAGCAGGATGATAAATCCTCAGACAGCATCAATTTTCCACTGAGACACATTAAATTAAATTGTAGGCTGCTGTTGTCAGGGTGACCCACTCCAACAGTATTTCATCACAAGCTTTTACAGATACTTACGTAACTCTGGTCAAGATAGAAGCTCAATCAGTCCGACAGTCGATGACAGATCAGAAGAGTCTGTTTTCAATGTATGTAGAGTTGTTTCAGCGGTTTCACATTATCCAGTGAAATGCATCATCACGCACCTACAAGCCAGCAGACTGGCAGTCTGATAGACCTGTAGGTTTTACCGTGTATTAAGTTTATTTATGAAGGAAATTTCACCAGTTTACTGCAAAGCTTTGTGCAAAAAACAAAGCTGCAAACTAATAAAAAATGAATGAATTATGCCTGTTTTCACACTGAAATTAAAACTTTCCTTAAAGCTAAAATACATGCAATGCAAAAAATAAAAAATAAAAATCTTGGCTTGAAGCTTTTGTGCAGTTTTGGAAAACCTACACCTTTTTTTTTGTTTGTTTTTCTCCACTCTGTGTTTAAAAGAAAACCGTTACAGTGGCACATTGAAAGTCATGAACTTTGAAAGAAAGATTTTATATGAAATATGTGCCCATTGTGCTGTGTTGGGATATTTCACAGAGTAATAAAATTTGTTATTTTTAGATTTCTCTCTCATAGATTTGAGTTGGCTGAAGACTGATTTTTTTCCCCACTGTTTTTAAGTAAACTTGTCTATTCTTCTATTCACTTCATTCTGATCAGTTTATATTTCATTTAATTTTATTGTATACTATATCTCTTACATGGTTTTATTTTTCTCATCTTTTTCTTCTGTTTTAGTCAACTAGTTTTTTTTGTTTTTTGGGTTTTGTTTTTTTTTTTTAAGTGCAGTTTATTCAACTTCTCTGAGCTTGTTTTGGATATTTATATAGTAATAGTAGTAGTATTGCTATTTTTATTATTATCATTTAATCTGCATGTAAAGCTCTGTGTATGATAAGGTTCTACATCAATACACATGCTTACTTCCTTTTACCAGGTGTGACAACTCTACCTGCCCTGTTCTTCTCCTTCAGGTTACCCGTACAACGAGGTGTGCCAGTGGTTCATCGATCGAGCTGATCTGATCTTCCTGGTGTTCGACCCCACCAAGCTGGACGTTGGAGGGGAGCTGGAGATGCTCTTCAAGCAGATGAAGGGCCGCGAGTCCCAGATTCGCCTCATCCTCAACAAGGCCGACAGTCTCACCACCCAGGACCTGATGAGGGTCTACGGAGCGCTGTTTTGGAGCATGGCGCCGCTCATCAACGTCACCGAACCCCCTCGCGTGTACGTCAGCTCCTTCTGGCCTCAGGACTACGCTGCTGAGACCAGCCGCGAGCTCTTCATCAAGGAGGAAACTTCTCTGTTGGAGGACCTCAACCAGGTACAACTTGTTGACAACATGATTTACTGGGCTCAGGTTTGGTAATGGCTTTATTGTACACTGACTACATTAAGTTTTGTAGTAGAAGTCCAGTTGGACTTCTCCAACAAGCTCGCAGGCCTTTTGTCATTGTCACTAAGATCCTGTTCTTTGTGTAGCAGCACTTGATGTAAAGGTTGTTCTCAAGTCCCTCACAGTTGTGGCGTTGTCAGAGCTGTGGAAACACGATTTCTCTCTATGTTTCTATATTCAGAGCTTCTGTTTTGTGCTTTTCCTGTTTACATTCTCACTTCTCGTTGCAGGTGATTGAGAACCAGATGGAGAACAAGATCGCCTTCATCCGCCAACACGGCATCCGTGTGCGCATCCACGCCCTGCTGGTGGACCGCTACCTCCAGACCTACTACGACAGGCTGGGCTGGTTCAGTGACCCCTACGAGGTCTTCCAAGACATTGTCAACGACCCAGACAAGTACTACATCTTCAAGTCCATCCTGGCGAAGACCAACGTCAGCAAGTTCGACCTTCCCGACAAGGAGGCCTACCAGGACTTCTTTGGGGTCAACCCGATTTCCCACTTCAAGCAGCTCTCCTCCCACTGCAGCTGGACTGGCGGCTGTCTGCTGGAGAAGATAGAAAGAGCGATCTCGCACGAGCTGCCGGCTCTGCTCAGCAGCGTCAACAAGTATCCAGACGTACCTGCCCCTGCAAAGGCCTCGCCGGCGCCTCCGCCTCCTCTGCCTGGTACCTGCGAGGGTCCCGGATGCGAGGAGAAACCCAAGAACCGCTGGAGGAGGCAGTGAGATGGAGGAGAAGGGTGCAGGAGGAGGAACAGAGGAGGCAGATGGCGGCAGCAGCCAGAGGGTTTCCTGAAACAATCCCCACTGATGTGGTTTTCAGAGCTGGCTATGGGGGACTCAGCAGGGAGAGAGAACGAGAATAGAAAATGAAGATCTACAGAAACTGGCAGAGCCGAGTCAGAGAGTACTGAAGAATATTTCTTAGTGCTTGTTTGTGTCTGCATGAAACGGACAGAACGTGTTCCCACCTGGTTTTAAAATACTTTTATATGATTTTAAATTATAACAACTCTCTGGTGCACATTGTCCTGTGTATGTAAGATATGTTTTTAAAAAAGCAAATAAGTTTTTGCACAGAAAGTTTCTGTCTGCAAAATGTGCTGCAGCAGAAAAATGGTTCCATCGCTAGAGGTTAAGTCCATATAATCTCTCATGATATGACATCTGAGAATAATTGTTTTCTTGTTTCTCACTATTTTCAGGCCTGTACATTATTTATTCACAGTTTTTTTCATCAGAGAAAGATGCTGGCGGTGTCGACACTCTTTCAGAGAGAATAAATAGTGCCGCTCTTTTGTCTTCTATGTGCAAAGGCTGAAGATTAACTTACATCTGCTGTGCTGTGTTTTTACTGCCTCTGTTCACCCAGACACCAGGGTAATGACCTAAAACCTGTGCAGGTTGATATTCATACAATAAAACAGAAAGAAAGGTGCTCCTGTTGTGTTTTTAACAGCCCTCAACCAAGTTTAGTTGCTCTATGCTACTTTGCTACTGTACACTGTACTGTAATTTGTCTCTGAAATGTACTATAATATGTTCATTACAGAAAACATTTTTATTTGTAACATTTCTTGTGCATTGGAACTGAATTGCTCCAATTGGAGCAATTCAGTTCCAATGCACTAGAATATTTGAGGAGAACGTTGTGTTATCCTCAAAATGTAACTGCAGTTTTCTATTTATGTAAGCTTGTTTTCAATGCAAGTGTGGCCTTTTCAGCCCTCCGAACTGTTGCTAGTTTTACCTCAACACGGCTGCGTGCCACATGGGCATTTCCTTTAAAATGTAATCTTTTCCTCATTCTTTTAGGTCTGTTTTTAATTGTCATTGTTTTGTGTGATTTCTTTTGAGTAAACATACAGAAAAAGAAGAAAATCTTCAAGCCTGTTTCCTTTGTGAGGCCTCAAAGACACAGATGAAATCGCTCCAGCTGAAACAATATATAATTCATATGATTTGGTTGTTAAGCTGCCATAAAAAAAAAAAAAAACAAAACCTGTGTAATGGGGTTTTGGGAAATGTGGGCTAAAAGCATCAGTTCTCACAATAAACAGCTTTAGATTGGAGATCCTGTGATTTCAAAGAGAAATATCGCGGTTAATTTGTTCAAATATAGGAGCACTGTATTTGAAACATAGTTAAATGTGTAACAACTGGCTGAGCACAAACATCAGTTAAATTAGCAGTAAAACAAAAATTTATATTTTTTTTGTACAGCTGCTGGTTCATTTCTCCCGCAGTGACTACAAACAGACACCAGGTGGCGCTTCTATTCAACGTCTTCACCAGACTGGCTACAGAGCAGTGTGTAGCAGGGGGGGAGAAAAAAAAGCTATTTAATTTTATTAGTTGCTAAAGTTTTGATTTTAATGCTGGACAACCCCCAACAAATTAACAAAACAAAGATTCCCTACAATGAAAATTAGAAAATATGACCATCTTTGTAAGGGTTTTGACTACTGTAGGATAACACCGTTCTTGGTATTTTATCAGAAAAAAACACAATTTTGTATCTAAGCCATTCAGTAAAATCTATTAAGATGGCAAATGAATTTTCTAAAAAAAATTGAATCCACTAGTAGGTTATCTCTTGGAAGAATCTGTCTAAATTTAATTTGGGATTGGTGACAAAAAAAAACTTCTTTGGATGGATCCCAGAAGACATAAAGGAACCGACTGTGTGAGAAGATTTAAGGTCCAAATAAACTACATGTGCAATCATTTATCTAAGCCCCATATGACATTATATTGTATGATACCCTCAGTGTAAATTCTGAAGGCAGTCAATTCAAATGGCACTACATAAATGCTTTTATTTAGAGCTGTAGAGGGCATGCAGTCATTTGGTACACAATTAACACGGATATTCTAAATCGCCGCCCACGTCTCAGATTTGTTCAGTGATTCAAATAGAATGAACAAAATGAATTAAAGAGGCAATTCAGCCACGCGGGCGTACAGTAGGCAGAGGCCAAGAGCATGGCTGGTTAAAAAGCAATCATAACATCTTGAAATTGAATAAAATGAACAGTACTTCAAGCTACTTAGAAATTAGTTCATACATTTAAATGAATGCAGAGCAAAAGGCACATTATGAACATATTTTTGCTAAATGGAAGCTATTTGGCTGAAAACACTGTTCAAGAAAACCACTTCTGATAAGTATAGTAGCATATGCAGGCATATGGCAAAATAAAGGAAGAACCTGACCTTTTGACCTCTACAGTGAAGGAATTCGCTGTTGGAGGACTTTGCTGGCATTAGAAAGTTGTTTTAAGTTATCACCTTTATTCTATGATTAAATATTTGTATCTTCATGCAAGTGGTTTTCTGCTCTTTGGTCCATAGGGCACAAGGGGTCACTGAATGTTCTGATGAAAATGATATGAATCCTTTGGCCTTCACAGTCACCAGATCTCAAACCACTAGAACATAATGGTAGATTTTGGACTAATGTGTTTAACACCATCATCACCAAATCACCAAATGAGAGAATATTGTTTCAGAAGAATGATGTTCCATCCCTCCAGCCTGCAGAGGTTTTGTAGAGTCAATGCCACAGCACATTAAAGTTGTTCCAATGGCTAAACACCTAACTAAGACACTTTATCTTTGTTTTCCCTTTCATTTATCATCTGTTTGTATATTCAATATAGTTACATTCTCTCTGTTTTCAATCATTTCTTTGCCTAAGTGGGTG